ACACACACACACGCACACGCACTCACACACTCCCTCTCTCAGGAGGACGTACACACACTGACGCCATCCCCCGTAGGGATATATTTTTCCTTTCTCAGGCATCTCGTCTCAAGGGCACAGACAGTAGACTCACACACACACACANNATATCTCAGCACACGGAGGAATCACTGATTGTCTTTCTGTCTCTGTAGTAGCATCAGTATCCGACTGTAACATTTCGCTGAACTTTGTTTATGCTTGTGTGATTTTGTCTCACTGAATGCACCTCAACAGAATAAGAGTCTCAGCTGTAGTGGTGGTGCACGGCGCTGTGGGACATTTGGCCAAGAAACGGCTCTGCGGCGTGTCTTAGTAGGCTTGGCTGGCGAGGTGGGAGGGTTTGGCAACCACACACACACACACACATGCGGCTGCACGGATAGTTGAAAACAATCTACATTGGTTCAAAGCTTGACAGAGAGATTCACTGTATGTAGTAATGAGAATACACTCCGTTGCTGCGTATTAAGTGTTGAGATTGAAGGTCACTGACGTGGAGAAAGCCCTCAGTGTCTCTCGTTACTGGCAGTCACACATACAACAATAACATAGGATTACTTTACAGGAGTGCGGCTATATTCCAGGTACTCAAGTTTTAGTGACATTGCTCAAAGTCATTATTAAAGACACATTAACCCGAATAATACTGAAGGGTTGTTGCTGCATTTTGCAAAGTTTTGGGCAAAGGCCTAGAATCTTTACGTCTGTGTCTGCTCCCTGAAACACCGGAAATGCACATCTCTAAGTTTGAGTGGCACTTCATGTACAGAGGAGAGACTGCACCATGTACTTTGTACAAAATGACAGGTTGACATGCAACTGTGGTGAGTCTTGAAATCTTGAATCATCTCAGCTGTGATAGCAGATCTTATCTATGTCTTGACATTTGTCTTCTGTATATTCACCGAGCCTCTTGTACACTTCCGCTGTGATCTTTTTTTAAAATAAATAGATAGCAACATCCACTGTAACCAAACAGCCAAAGACAAGGTCATCCACAGTTTCAGTAATTGCTTGCTGACAGTTTGATAGATTCCTGCAGTAGTGCAACAACATTGCAACCAGTACTTCGTTACAAAGAAGTTGCAAATCACTTTTTTTTTTTTACCACATCGGCCTCCACGCTGTGACCATGTTGACGTGGTAACGCACAGGGTTGATTGGCCGCCGGCCCCCTGCCTCTTCTCTAACCAGACCCCCCGCTCACATCTCAAGTTCCTCTCACTTGCCGCTTGGCATCAGTTACCACGGCGATGGCATCCAACAGCGTCTTTTGGTTGTGCTGTACATAATCAAATGTACTCTGTGAGCCCAAGATTTGATCTGGTGAGGGGCATGTTCAGTTCTGAATTGATTGAATTTTATTAACCTTATATATTCTGGCATTTCTCCTTCACGGTGTGTGTGTGTGTGTGTACTCAGCAGCCTTGTCAGTCAACATGATGTGACCTTTCAGATGGTGTACGAAGTGACCTTATTAGATGAGATGAAATTTTAATGATACGCTGTCTGTCATTGCTGGAAATAGAAACGGAAGACATCAAAGATAAAAGGGGAAATATGTAAGCAAGGGAAACTTTATTTATAAACGTATCACAATCAGTCAGTTTTATTGGTCAGGTGTGTGTACACGTACAAGGTATTTGTGCCATGTTGCTCTAAATGTGCATACATATGGGAAAAGAAAACAAGGACAATACCCTTTTTTTCAGCGAGGACTCAGCCTTACTACATGGGGTGCCAGCTCTGGCAGGTGAGCTACCAGAGCACCCCACAGGGACAATACGCTTGAGAAGCTAACCATAAACTACTGTGTACTGATATAATATATATATTGACACATTCTGATACAATTCATGATGAGTTTACAATATGATTTTCTCACTTTTTTTTCACAGATTTTATTAATTTAAGAGGGTGTGGATTATAAAAAAATCTATTTTTACTCTATCTATAATATCTGTAGCATCGATTTGTGCCTCGTGTAATCATCATTACATGCAGGTAGGTTTAAATTCATGGATAATGGACATCATTTAGAAAACACACAAACACAAGTGAACTATGAATTCACTGGAGAGTCAACTGACTGTCACATGTTGTAAGTAGTGTTTTAGCTTACATTGTGGCCTCAGGGACTCTGCCTCCCTTAAATACTACCAGAATAGGATCAACACAAAAACATGGAAGACAAGCTTTCCTTTGTTTTGTTTTGACTAGTTTTGCCATTTTGTTCTTATTGATAGTGAAAAAGAAAAAGGCACGACCCAAACACAGAGCTATTGTAGTAAGAAAAAGACAGCCAACACCCTTTTCTATTGTTTTTAGAATATCACAAGACAAAATGGCTTTTTTGTCGATATTTTAGTTGTAATTAATTACTGCACTTTATTTTGCAGCATCTATTATAGTGTGAAACTACATTAGATTGGATGTGAGTTAGAAGGCCGATCGAGGAGAAAGACCAAACACAACATTCCAGTTGAACCTTAAACACTTTGAGGAAATAAAGCAGCTTGTGTTTTGTTTGTGGTTGTCAGGACCGTCTGCATTGTCTGCTGTTTATCAGTGTTTGGGCACTTATCTGGCCACCCCACCCAACCTTTAGGACCCGGCTATGTGCGCTATGGTTTAATGACGGTTTGTCTGTTTGGTAGCAGTATATCTCAGAAAGTTGTCAACAGGTTTCAGTGAAATTTAGTTGGCTTGCAACAAGTGGGTCAATGTTTGTACAGACCAAATATTTATTTAAAAGTAGTTCACAACACCCCTTCCTGATTCTACTGTGAGATGAGTGTTGTGAAAAAAAAGTGGATTAATTCATGAACAGAAAATTAGTTGTCTACAATTTTGGCCTTTTATATATTTATTAAACCAGTTATTGAGGACAGATTCCAAACATTCTTCTTAAATTGAAGATTTACATGCTGCATGTATCATATACTTATACTAAATATCTGCCGATGCAGTTTGATCCAATGCTTACCTAAATGTTGATAAAATATATATCTGACACAATAAAATAGTTGCAGCCACTAAATTTTTTTGTCATGTGCGTCTTCATCCACATAATAAAGCTCCTAAATGAAAACTATTATGTTTATGTGCCTAAATTACAGATGGCATGTGACTGGAAGTTTAAAATTGACGTTGGTTTCACTCTTTTAGCGTTGTGAGAGTACACTCAGGCGTGTTGGAGTGGAGCTTCTTCCCTCACAATCACTTTAACTAGATAACAGACAAGTGTTATTTGGCCTGTCATCAATTTTCTCACAGAATTAACATTAATTAGCACCAGCAGAGATGACCTCCTGCTAACAAAGTTTTGTCATATTAACCGGTGAAAGCGGCAGTCAGGGGCGGCTAAAAATGTGAAGCTGCTACTTGAATGTTTTGTACACT